CAGCGCACTAAGTCATACAAACCATGACGCGCCGTGACTCTCCCTGTTATCAGTGTCTCAGAATCACACAGAACCAGGACTGGGCCCTTCAAACTCATGCTCTTAACCACTGTGCGGAATTATTAGCATCTACTGAAGAAATTTAATTTTATCACTTCAGAAAAGACTTCCAATATTAACAGTAGCTTTCAACCATGGACATCCCTGTGAAACACCTTTCCTCCATTCAGACACTTCTACTCAGTTAAACTCTGAAATGGCAAGTGGTACTCACATTTGTTCAGAAGTGCTGAACACAGTTTGCTGACCAGTGGTCTTAATTTAGTAGTGTGCGTAACATAATCAAAAACCTGACTCTTTCAGAATCAGAGGTGTTATTTCAAGGTCGGACTACCGATGAAACCACTAAAAGCAGCACGCCGTGAAGGTTACACGGAGTTAAATGGAAAAGAGAGAAATCAGGCGCCAATCTGGAGCGAGCTGCTGGCCGGAGGAAAAGATCTTATGAAAAGCAACTGTGACGTTTACATTATATACTGAAAACAAACTTCATTTTAGATTACAGGATCACATCTTCTTCAGGGGGTGATGGAGAACGTTCCAAGCACTGTAGGAAACCACAGTTCAAGGTTTTCAAGGTTCTAATTACGTGTAACGTACCTCCAAGTACTAGTCTTCCTCTTAGATTTCTCACTGTTTCCCACGGTGGCCTCTTCCTGAAATGAACCATCAACAGAAATAAGACAAAATATGACAATGGGATGTGTTCTCCTAGTTAGACTACTCAAAACCAGTAAGGCAAAGGAAATCTCAGAAAAGCAAAAGAAATACAGATCCAGAAGAAGGCAAATTTATTAAGAAATACTCATTTCTAAAGTGTAAATCACATCGTTTACAGATGAAAAGTAAAGCCAGCCCTTACAACAATGACTGACAGCCTGGAGACAGAGGAGGCCAGTGCCCTGTGCGGCCCAGCCCAGAGAGGGAAGCTGGGAATCCAAACAACTCAACCTGTTGCCTCAGAGGCTACATCCACCTTGATTCACACAGAAATGTTCATTATTAGGGTGAAAGCAGAAGAAGGCAACATATCTGGGTACGGAGTACACTTAATGCCTAGGACTGACCCAACAAAAGCTACGATTTTCTACAAAAGTAAGACTAAGTCTTGTCCTTTATTTATAAACCCAGCTGTGGGGTGAGGCTGACACAGAGCGGGGCAGGTCTGGCTGGTGCTGCCCAGGTCAGCGCTGGCTGTGTAGCTGGGGCCAGAGGGGCAGGGGCCAGTCAGACGGGGAATGAAGGAGAAGACCCTGTGGAAGGCAGGGTGGGACCGCAACCCACTGCCCGTGCACGTTGTAAGACGGGCCTATACCCTGTACAGAAATAATCCGTATCGAGTGGAGAAAACTTACAAAAGACACAAACTGAAAGAAAAACACCTGTAATTCCATCACCCAGAGGGAAACACTTCGTCTCTAATATGACTTTTCCCCACGCATATTGAAGTTTTTTTTTATAAAAATGGAAGACACGTTGTCATCTAGCCTAGCTCCCCACTTTCCATCCCCAGACAGACCTACACCAGCACTCTCAACCGCCACCCACCACCACCACCAGGGTTTAATCACACACTACTGGGCATCTAGTTTGCTCTCAACACTTTGCAACTTTAAGTATAAATATCAAATTATGAAAATGCCACATATACGTCCCTGTTCACCAGATTCAAAGGTTTCTTTGGGGTCTATTTCTAGAAACGAAATCCTTGAATTGGGAGGTAAGATGTGAATCGTATCAACAGGCCGGCCCTGAGCACGACACTGCTCTTTG